TGTTCTTTGTTCCTCCCCCCCCACTCCAATTTCACGCATGTTCTTCTCTCACCCAGCCGTCGCTCTCGCTCCCATCCCGCCGTATCCTCTCCAACCCTACCCGGCGTCACCTCTTCAACCCACCTCACAATCACTCCGTCCCAGAAAGAAACCGCCTCTGGTCTCACTCACGCCACACAGTCTACTTGGCGTGTCAGAATATTATGCTCTAGCCTGTAGTGGGGTGCTCTGTAGCGAGTACAACCCTTCTAGGGTTTGCTATTTGTATCCCCATTCTTGCTAGTTCATCCTCTTTTGCCTAATTCTCTCGACATGCTATCAGAGCAGGACGATCCTGTTGGGTCGATCCTGTGGGTGGGCCCACCACCAAATGCTTCCGCTGCTGTTCTACTGGTCGCGCGACGCCTCCTTCCTGCCGCGCGCTCGGGGCGTGCGGCAGGAATTTTTTTTTTTTACGGATTTTTCATCCCGCCACGCGCTCGGGGCGTGCGGCGGGTTTCTCCCCGCCGTGCGCCCCGAGGCGCGCGGCGGTTTCCTCCCGTGGGGGATGCCCGCGTCCCCCCGATCCCGTCGCCCGCGGCCCCCCGATCCCGTCGCCCGCGGCCCCGCGATCCCGTCGCCCGCGGCCCCCCGATCCCGTCGCCCGCGGCCCCGCGATCCCGTCGCCCGCGGCCCCCCGATCCCGTCGCCCGCGGCCCTGCGATCCCGTCGCCCGCGGCCCCGCGATCCCGTCGCCCGCGGCCCCCCGATCCCGTCGCCCGCGGCCCCGCGATCCCGTCGCCCGCGGCCCCCCCCCCCCCCCCCCCCCCCCCCCCCGATTTCCCGTTGCGCCGCCCTGGGGAGCCGCGCGCGGCCCCTCGCTGCCCCGTGGTGGCGTCCTGGGGGCCGCGCGCCGTCCCCCTCGCCGTCCCCCGTGCTCCTTCCCCCGTTCCGCCCGTTTTTAGGGTTTGGGGGTGAGGAGTGTGGGGGTGGCAGCTATGGGGGTGCCGTGTGTGTGCGCCGTCTCCCACTGCTGCAGCTGCCGCTGAGGGGGGTGGATGTGTGGGAGCCGAGGGTTAGGGTTTAAAGGGGGGTGCCGTGGGAGTGGAGCTAGGGGTTCAGCAGGGGGTGTGTGTCGAGGGGTGTGGGACAGTTGGAGGAGGTTGAGCGGAGGCCGCCGTCGTGTCGTCCGCAGCGCCTGTATTCCGGGGGTCGATTAGCCACCGGTAGCTCAGAGAGCCGGTTGCGCCGTCGCCTGTGGGTCCGTTGCTCCTGCCGCGCATATTAGCCGCGGAGCCTGTTACTCCTGTACTCCGGGGCACTCATTCCCGGTAGCCACGTTGTCGCACCAGAGCCGTCTGTTGCCCGTGTGTCTGCAGCTTCAGTCGTCGCCTCCTATCTACTCTCCTCTCGCCAGCCCTCCTCCTCCTCACTTGCCCCCTGTGACTGCCTCTAGCTTTGCTCATAATTGTGAACCTTAAACTATTGCTTCTTGCTTGTGCTCAGAATGTGTGGTGACATCGTGATCCACCCTGAGCTTGTACTGCTTTGTTTCCTCTGCTGATTACACCCCACTTTGGCTATGGGGGTGTGTCAGAATATTATGCTCTAGCCTGTAGTGGGGTGCTCTGTAGCGAGTACAACCCTTCTAGGGTTTGCTATTTGTATCCCCATTCTTGCTAGTTCATCCTCTTTTGCCTAATTCTCTCGACATGGCGAGTTAAAGGCGGAGCCTAGGATCGATTCGACGGGCTCGGAGCATAATAATCAGTGGCACTATAAATCTCTGTAATCGCATGAGAATTGAAAGAGATATTCCTTATAATGCAAGGATGGGTACAAGTGACGAATTGATAATAACTCTCTGGTTTTGCTCTACATTTGTATAGCTAAAACATGCAAGCAAGATTGTAACATCGAACCGCGCGCGACTCGCTAGAAATTCGGACTCAGGATTGCGTCCAATTCCGCGACGTCCGCGTTTACTATTTCGCACTTTGCCGAATTCATTTCAACACGCCAAAAGTGTTGGGTGCAAATTCATATTGCACGACATCCTGCCGTCTGTTTGTACGAGTATGCGTGTGTGAATGCATTTGGGTGTGAATGGAATGTTCGTGTGTTTGTTTGCTTTCGCAAATTTCGCTTGATGCATTTGCAGGTACTCGCGCAATGTGCGCTTCGGCACAACATTGTACGCACTATGAACAGTGCAAGCAGAAAGGACGAGCTCGCAAAGGAACCCAAGATGGAAGCTTTGCGGTTTGGTTGAATTGATTGCGCAGATTCAGTTCTATCCAACTCGAAATTGTACTGTTTTGCTTGGTTGACTATAGTGTAGCAGGGCAGGCACTATAGGGGTACAATTTAGGTGAAGGTTGGGTGCAGTTTGTCTGTATCTGCATGCTACAGGGCCAGGGGAAACCAGCGGAACCAGCATTTCACTGGTTGGGCAAAGACAAAACAGGTTCTGTTTTTAGAACCTGAACCTGGTTGTTGTTTTCCCAGGTTGGAAATACAGAACCAGAGGTTGTTAAACAAGCTACCACCTGCTATTTTGTCCAGCCAGGTTGGTTTTGTTGCTTGGAATTATTTGGGATCATCCCTGGTTGTTCCCAGGTTGATTCCCAATTGCTAGCTAGAACTATATACTCCTTACCTGAACATTGTCAATTGATTCAAGCGAATTCCTTCCCCCCTGAAGTTTCGTTTCTGTGCTATTCGACGACGGAATACTACCTGAGTCAACACTAGTATGCTAGCACTCCAACGCTAGGCAAACGCTGTCCGAGCCATAACTTCGTAATGACAGATTTTTTCGCGAGGCAACTTGGCTTATTTTAAAGCTCTTGGAGCAAGCTTCGTTATAGCAAATTGTCAGCTTAATCCGATCGACGATCTGCACGGCACGCTGCGCGACGTTCAAGGTACTCTTGTTATTTTGGCTAAGTCATTCTTGACTCTCTCTCTACAAACTCGGACCCGAGGATAGGGGCTGGTCTTGTACCAGGCACCCAAGGACCCTTGGAGGTGACCCCGAGGAGAGTTTTAAGTTTGCTTAAGTCTTAATAGCTTGAGTTTATTAGGCTCTCTGTTTTTATAGCTAAAACATGCAAGCAAGATTGTAACATCGAACCGTGCGCGACTCGCTAGAATTTCGGACTCAGGATTGCGTCCAATTTCCGCGACGTCCGCGTTTACTATTTCGGACTTTGTTCATTTTAACACGCCAAAAGCGTGTGTAACACGAAACAATTGCGAGTGTAGCGAAATGTTCCAAACATTCGCTTGCACTCTCGCTATTTTCGTGTCTGCTTTGTGGGGCTGCCAAGTGTCGCCCTCACAAATGTTCGGACCCAACCGGGGAAAGTTCGGTTACGTGGCGACGCGGACAATCCGCCGTCACCCCAACCTTCCAAGAACAAACCCTCCCTTGGTCCGAGTCAAGGGAGGTCTTCGCGTGGGGGGCAATCCCGTCCCCCACACTTCCAACACTCCCCCTTGCACCCCACGCACACCTAAGCATGCAAGCCTACCCTAGCACAACATGCATGAAGAGCATCTCTAGGCAATGGCTTGGTAAGGAAGTCCGCGGGTTGGGAGTTGGCCTTGATGTAACGAAGCTCGACTTCGTTGTCTTCAACGAGCTTGCGAATGAAGTGGTGGCGGATTTGAACATGGTCCTTCCGTGAAGGACCGAGTTCTTGGCTAGGCCAATAGCGGCTTGGTTGTCCACGTAGATGGGAGTGGGGCCTTCTTGTTTGTGCCCAAGCTCGGCAAGAAGACGCCTTAGCCAAACCGCTTCCGTACCACCACGAGTGAGCGCCAAGTATTCTGCTTCGGTGGAGCTAAGTGCAATCAAGTTTTGGCGCTTGCTTTGCCAACTTATTGCACCTCCCACGAGGGTGAAGATATAGCCCGAGGTGCTTTGGCGGGTTGAAGGATCTCCCGCCCAATCTCCATCTGTGTAGCCTTGTAGCACCACGGGTCCCTTCGCGTAGTGCAACCCCATTCGAGTGGTGCCCTTGATGTAGCGAAGGAGGCGTCGTGATGCTCACACATGCTCGACCATGGGGTTGGAGACGACACGCCCAAGCACTCCAACGGGAAAGGAGAGGTCGGGTCGCGTGCTCACCGCGGCATACATGCACGACCCAACAACCGAATGGAAGGCCTTGGCGCTGTCGGGATCCATCGGGTTCTCGTCGCTCACAGCCAATGGATGAAACCCCACTTCCATAGGTGTCGGTGTAGGCTTGCTCTCGATCACGCCGAAGCGATCCACCACACTCTCCAAGTACTTGTGTTGGTGGAGGGCGAGGGTCTTGTTCCCTCGATCACGATCGATGTGCATTCCTAGGTAGTGGGAGACGGCGTCGAGGTCACGCATGGAGAAGTCGGCGGCAAGTTTCGTCTCCACGTCCGCTACAAGGGTCTTGGAATCCGACACGAGGAGAAGGTCGTCTACGTAGAGGAGAAGAACGAGCTTCTTCTCGTCCTTGTTGAGCACGTAGAGCGCGTGGTCACACTCGCTCCGCACGAACCCCAATGAAAGCAAGTGCTCATCGTGTACCACGCACAAAGGCTTTGCTTGAGGCCGTATATCGTACGCTTGAGCTTGCACACGCGGTCGGAGTCGTCGTCGAACCCGGGAGGTTGAAACCTATACACCTCCTCCTTGAGACGACCGTAGAGAAACGCCGTCTTCACGTCGAGTTGTTCCACCTCCAAGTCGAGTGCTCCCGCCAACGCAAAGAGAGTGCGCAAGGTGGCGGACTTGGCGACGGGAGCGAATGTCTCGTTGTAGTGAAGACCCTCCTTTTGTGCGTAGCCTTACGCCACCAACCGCGCCTTGTACCGCTCCACTTCTCCGTTGGGGCCGAGCTTCTTCTTGAAGACCCAACGAGAGCCAACGAGGTAGGCGCCGGGAGGCATGGGGACAAGCTCGTAGACGTCGTTCGCCATGAGTGAATCGTACTCCTCTTGAAGCGCTCATTCCCATTCCGCCGCTTCCGCCGAGCTCATGGCGCCTTGGTACGTGGACGGGGTATCGGTGTATGCCTCAAGGCACATAGCGTCCCCCCGCCCTTATCGTCTCCCGCCACGAGAGAGTAGTCATCGTACTTTGAGTTGGGATGAATCCTCCAAGTGCGAGTGGATGCAAGGGTGGGAGTGATAGTAGGAGGAGGAGACGAAGGGTCATTTTCCTTGGCATTTCCTTCATCCGCACTCACTCCAAGCGCACCCGATCCATTCCCCCCCTCACTCGTACTAGGAGGAGGAGTCGTAGGAGCTTCATCCGCCTCATCCGCGGCATCCAAGGGTGGAGGGACGATGATGACCGAGGGCACGTTCATTGACTTGGACGGGAAGGTGTCTTCATAGAACACCACGTCGCGCGACACCACGAGTTTCCCGTGCTCCAAGTCCCACACACGCCACGCCTTATGATCCGCGCTTGGACCCAAATACATCGCCACCCGCGCCTTAGCCTCAAGCTTGGTCCGTGTGGCATCCAGGACATGGTAGTAGCACGTACACCCAAACGTGCGAAGGTCGGTGACGTCCGGCTTCGTACCGCTCCAAGCCTCAAGAGGCGTCTTGGTCACGCACCGGTTGCGAATCCAAGTTGCCAACGTAACCGCCTCTCCCCACCAATGCTTCTCCGCGTGAGCATGGGAGAGGAGACTCCGTGCCGACTCCATGAGCGTGCGGTTTAAGAGTTCGGCGGCTCCATTTTGTTGGGGCGTGTACGGCGTTGAGAACTCATGCGCGGTCCCACGCCCTTTCAACCAATCGCCGAGCTCCCGAGCGGTGTATTCGCCACCTCCATCCGAGCGAAAGCGCTTCACCTTGAAGCCGCTTTCCGTCTCCACATCCGCGACCCATTGCTTGATGGCGGTTGACGTGGCGTCCTTGTGCTTGAGAAGCCGAATCCAACACATCCGCGTCGCGTCGTCGAGGAGCGTGAGGATGTAGCGCGCGCCGCCCTTCGACGCGGGAGTGATGGGTCCACACAAGTCCATGTGAACGAGCTTGAGAGGTTTGGTGGCGTTCGGCTTCGTGCTTGGAAGAAATGGCTTCCGTGCCATTTTCCCTTCGAGACAACCGACACACCTCTCATCGTCTCCACCCGAGCCCACAAACTCTAAGCCGTCGACAACCCCCTTCGTTGCCATAGCCTGAATAGCGTCGTGGTGGAGGTGGCCAAACCAATTATGCCACGTTTTGAGAGTGGTTGTCGAGGTAGCCGCTTGAGCCGTCGCCACACTTGGGAAAGCGCCAACCACGAAGAGTCCTCCCGATTGGCGTGCCGTGTCGATGTGTGCGCCATCCGCCATGCTCAACGCCATCATAGTCCCTTTAATATTCACAAACATCCCCTTACGTGTGAATTGGGAAATGGAGAGGAGGTTGGCGCCGAGCCCGGGAACCACCAAGACGTTCTTGATGGTGAGTGGACCGCCGTCCACCATGAGCCGCAAGTCGCCTTGTCCCGTGACGTCCAACGTGTCACGGTTGCCGAACATCACGCGCTTAACGGGAGCCTCCGTTGTCACGTTGTTGAGAAGAGTCGCGCACGCCGTCATGTGTTGAGTAGCACCTGTGTCGAGTACCCACACGTCAACACCCCCGACGGTTGTTCCACTTGCGACGAAGACGAACTCCTTGTCGTTGTTGTCCCATGTCGCCACATGCGCGCGCCGGTTGTCGTCACTTGAAGCCGGCTTCCAATTCGCCGGCTTGACGGGACATTCGCGCCACCAATGTCCGGTCTTCTTGCAAAAACGACAAGCTCCGTCGCGCGCCGAGCTCGATTGGCGTTGGCCGATCCTCCACGTGAGGCCGCCGTGCTCCCGTTCGAGCTCCCGCGGTTGTTGCCGTCGTTGCGCCGCTTGAAGTGACCCTCTCCTTTAGCCTTCGCATCACGGGAGAAATGTGCCACACCGATTGCATCGCCATGCAATTTCGTGCGCCTCGCCTCTTCGTTGATGAGGCGTGCCACCACTTGCTCCTTCTTCCATGTATCTTGCGCCCCATCCAGCATCGTGATCACCGTTGACCATGCTTCACCGAGGCCCGCTAGGAGCGTCATGATCCAATCGTTGTCCTCCACGCTCGCGTCGAGTTCCACCAAGCGCTCGCCAAGCTCCTCCACGCGGTTGACGTACGCGCGCATTGACTCGCCGTCCCTCATCCGCACCGTGAAGAAGTCGAGGCGCGCTTGAAGCTTGCTATGAAGCGACTTGGAGACGTGCTCTCCTTCGAGTCGCTTCCACGCTTCACGAGTCGCGCCGTCACGGTCGATGCACGGACTCACGATCGGGACGAGTTGGAGACTTAGATTGGAGACAAGAAAGGCAAACGCCTTTTTGTCCTTTCGCACCCACGCTTCCTTTTCCGCCGGTGAAACATCCAAAGTGGGTTTCGATGCCGACCCATAGAAGAAGCCCCACAAGTCGCGCTCCATCATGTAGACTTTTAGCTTGAAGCGCCACGAGGGAAAATGCTCCCCGTTAAAAAATTGGCACCGCGCTCAAGTCGACAACGTGCGGCGTTGTCGAGATGTCCGTCGGAAGGGAAGGGGCCGTTGGCGCATTCGTCGTCGACGAATTATCGGAGGAACCCATGGCGTAGCAACGATTGAGCGAGCACTATTACTCTAGCTCTCATACCATGAAAAAAACCGCATCTGGTCTCACTCACGCCACACAGTCTACTTGGCGAGTTAAAGGCGGAGCCTAGGATCGATTCGACGGGCTCGGAGCAAGTAATCAGTGGCACATTAAATCTCTGTAATCGCCTAAGAATTGAAAGAGATATTCCTTATAATGCAAGGATGGGTACAAGTGACGAATTGAGGATAACTCTGGTTTTGCTCTCTGTTTTTATAGCTAAAACATGCAAGCAAGATTGTAACATCGAACCGTGCGCGACTTGCTAGAGATTCGGACTCAGGATTGCGCCCAATTTCCGCGACATCCGCGTTCACTATTTCGGACTTTGCCAGGTTCATTTCAACACGCCAAAAGCGTGTGTAACACGAAACAATTGCGAGTGTAGCAAAATATTCCAAACATTCGCTTGCACTCTCGCTATTTTCGTGTGTGCTTTGTGGGGCTGCCAAGTGTCGCCCTCACAAATGTTCGGACCCAACCGGGGGAAGTTCGGTTGCGTGGCGACGCGGACAATCCGCCGTCACCCCAACCTTCCAAGAACAAACCCTCCCTTGGTCCGAGTCAAGGGAGGTCTTCGCGTGGGGGGCAATCCCGTCCCCCACACTTCCAACAGTCCCACCCAACCCGCTATCTCCTCTCCCTTACCTTCCCGCCGTCGCCTCCCCCTCCTCTTTGCCGTCGCCTCCCTCCTCCCCGCCGTCGCCTCTCCCTCCTCCCCGCCGTCGCCTCTCCCTTCCTCGCCGTCGCCTCTCCTCCTCCCCGCTTTCGCCTCTCCATCCTCCCCGCCGTCGCCTCTCCTCCTCCCCGCCGTCGCATATCCTCCTCCCCACCGTCGCCTCCCCTTCCTCTTCATCGCACGAAGAATGAAGGTTGTTGGCAAGCTGTGGGTAGTCATGCAGCTATCGAGAGGGAAAAGGGCCTCATTCAATCTGCCAGCAATGCCGGTTGTCGATTGGTGACAACCAATATCGGCAGGTTGTTTAGGATTGGTTTGGGGGGTACAACTTTCTAGCAAATCTTTCACTATCTGCCGAGTGTTCAATTTTGGTTGGACAAGGGACATCGTGTTTCGTGCATCAGGTGTAACTTGTTCGCTTTGTACTTCGAGTTCCATAGTTGGTGATCGCAACTCCGCGGAGGCCGTGGGGACATCGAGATGTGGGCAGACATGACCTGTGATTGGTGCAATCTGCAAAAATTTCTCGCTTTGAACTTTGGAAACTGCAAGCACTGTTCCAAAATCCGTTTCCGCATGTTCACCAACAATAACTAGTTTGTAACTGGAATTTAGAAATGTATCCGTAATTGCAGTTTTTGTTTATATGTTACAAAACAGTCCCTGACAAATGATTTTTTTTTGTTTCCAACTAATTATTAATTCAAAGTCTAAATATTATTGCAGAACACGGTTAAATGCCAATACAGTTAGAATTAAAAGCTCACGCATTTAACCACTAGTGCTATTGCTACCAATATTATTGCTACTAATGACTTTCTATTGCTACTAATGCTACAATATTATTGATACTACTAATGCTACAGTCAGGTACTGCTTAAGCTACTATTGCTAATAATGCTGCAGTCTATTTACTACCACAGTGCAATTTACTACTAAAACTAATTACGCTAGTTCTTAACAATAACAAAATCGAAGTCATAAAAATTATCCTTGAGTGGAATTTCGACATACTCGATCCATTTTTCGATCTGCGTCCTCTTCTCCATCTCCCTCTTGTTAGAGGTGGCGTCAGAGGACAAGCTTGGCTTTACCGTAAGCATCCCATACTCAATCAGGTTAACAGGAGAAAAAACCATCAAGGGAAACAATAATATCAGAACGCATAGAGAAACAAATATGCATGGATATCTCTGAATCTACTTTCAGCATTTAGCACATCTGGTCAATAGTGAGAGCGACAACATCTTGTTCTTCCTTGTACCAAGAAGCAGCAGCTGCATTGAAGAGTTCACTGTTGAACGGGAGCAAATCAAAAACATGCCAAGGAAGACCATATATATCTGCCAAGAAAAAAACAATATGAGTTAGTGAGTACAGAAAGAGAAAAGTAAACCAGCAACAAATGAGCAACATGGTACTTGACACATGTGCCTTGGCATAATCTTGCCTAGCTGCCATGGTGTCACCAACCAGCTCGCCCTTCTCATTCTTCAGACGAGGCAACATGATGCCACGGAAGCTGCTGCTATACTTCCCCCGACGGTTGTTGCACAAGTCGTTGCACATCTTGAACCAACCTCCATCAATCCATTCCGTGTTGAATCGCGCGAGCTTGTGCTTCTGGACGTCCAAGACGATCATCACATGCTTTTTGAAGTCCGCTTCGATAGGATAAATCCTACGCTTTTCTAGGTCCCGTCAGTTGAGAAGAAGATCCACCACTGAGCTCACGACCTCTTGTAAATGGGTGTGGGCAACATCAGTAACAGAAGTTTCAAGATATGAAATAGAAAATGTACAGTGCAAGTTGTCAGAGGTCCACTGGTGATCCCCGATTGATCCTAGGGAAGGGTTACAGGCACGGCGGCCTGGGGGGTTATGGGCGCACTCACCCGCTACACAAACAAGCCCTTTTATCCCAGTGGTTAGTGACTGGGATTCTGACATGGTATCAGAGCGAAGGTCTCGGGTTCAAATCCCGGTGTGTGCACCTCGGGCATCCCAGTGCGAGGGGGTGTCAGAGGTCCACTGGTGATCCCCGATTGATCCTAGGGAAGGGTTACAGGCACGGCGGCCTGGGGGGTTATGGGCGCACTCACCCGCTACACAAACAAGCCCTTTTATCCCAGTGGTTAGTGACTGGGATTCTGACACAAGTGTCTTCGATTGGATCTCCAATAATTAACATCGAGATGAAGTAAAAACAAAAAGTTGAAAACAACACGTACTGAAATCTTGGTGTCATCGCACCAACTAGGCTTGATAAGAGCCTTCGCGAGGTGGTTCACAGTCTCGATCAGAACCCGCTGACTCTCATCTGCTGCACGGAGACGTTTGTCCAGCTTTCCAATCAAATTGCGAATGTCGCGGACTGCTAGCCTCGTTTCCGCGTCCAAGCCGTTGAAGTTGTTCGCTTCGCGGTGAGAGACATTACGCTCTGAAAGTTAAATAGAACTGAAGAGATTAAGAATGGGCTGCCAACCGGTAAACCAAAGTGAGACGCACAGAGCCAGGATACCGGAATGAATCAGGAGGGGGAAAAAAATAAAACCAAACAACGATTTACTCCTAAATCATTTCCAACATAGCATACACTTACGAGATGCCATTGGGGAATAATCATCAGGAGTGCTTGCTCGAACCACAGGAGAATGGGTGGCAGTCACTGTCAAACATTGCATGTTTATATTGTGTAGGCTGTAGTGGGTTACACCTTAGGGGGTACACAAAGTTAGGGTTTCCTACTTGTACCAAACTCTGTGCTAGTTCATTTCATTCCTGCTCAGTTATTTCTGACATGGTATCAGAGCAGGTCCTTCGCTAGGACTGTTCTTAGGGCCCACCGACTTACCTACCTGCTTACCTTCACTTGTTTCCGGCCCCGCTGGCCCCGTCGATCTAGCACGATCTAGCGGCCCTGCGGCCCCGTCGAACTTTTTTTTCCTAGCGGCCTCTCACGGCCCCCGTCGCGTCGCCCCTTAGCGCCCCGATCGGCCCCGTCACGCCGCCCGCGAACCGCACAGCGCGCCGCGCTCACAGCCCGCGAACCGCCCACGCACAGCCCGCGAACCGCCTGCGCAGCCCGCGACCAGCCCGCGCAGCCCGCACACAGCCCGCGAACTGCCCGCGAGCAGCCCGCGACCTGCCCGCGAACCCCCGCGAGCCGCCCGCGACCCGCTTACGCAGCCCGCGAGCAGCCCGCGCAGCCCGCGCTGAGCCTGCGCGGCTCGTGCGCTGACCGCCGCCGGCCCGCACGCTGCCCGCACAGCTCACATACGGCCCGCGCGGCCCGCGCACTGCCTGCTACCGGCCCGCCGCTGCTGAGCCCGCAGCCGCCCGCGCACCGCCGCTGCTGAGCCCGCCGCCGCCCGCGCACCGCCGCTGCTGCGCCCGCCGCTGCCCGCGTATCACCGCTGCTGAGCCCGCCCCTGCTGCGCCGGCTCTCGCTGCCGCCTGCTGCGCCTGTGCACCACTGCAGATCCTGCTACTACACTTCCTGCTACTGCTGCTTGTGCGCCACTACAGTCCGTAGGCCCCACCGGCCCCGCTGACCCTGCGCACGCCTTTTCAGTGACTTTACTGCTTCTACTACTGCCGCTGTCGCTATGGCTAGTCCTCCTGTTCTAGCTTTCGACGCCGAGGGCCGTCCGGTCAAATTCGAAACCTGGCTAGATGACCTGCACCTTTTCCTACAGCTCACTGCCAAGGAAGATATTACTCTGTACGACCACGCTCTCGGCCATGCGACCGCCCCACTCACTACTGCCCCCCCAGCTGAGCGCTCACAGTGGCAGACCCGTGACGCGCACGCTCGCTTTGCTA